TATATATTTCGATTAAGCGTAGAGAATACAACCTTTTATATTTGACTGAATGTTTGAAAATAAAATAAGAAAAGTTATTAACAAGTTTTGTAAACTGTATAGTTAATCAATTTAAAGTAACTTTATATAAATATATCTGATAGAAATTGTCGTCGCAAATGAATAGTATAATTCATATAAATCGTCCGGAAAGAACCATAGAAAAACACGTTTATAGTTCGTGTGTAGACGGTTTGTTTGGATTGCAATGTATCGCAGGAAGGAAAGTACGACATTATAAATATTCACAACATTCGCCAGCTCAGCATCAGAATAAAACATATCGTTTTCACACACATAATGGCAACATAATGGCACAAATACAAAGTACTGATATGTTAAGATGCAAAAGATATCGGGAATTTTATGGAGACTAATCCACCACTGTTTGCTTAAGTTATGCTCCATATTCCTTTTTGGAAAAGTGAAGCAAAACGTTCAACAAAGCATAGTAAAAAACTTCCAAGTCATTATTCGCAATCAAATATAGTTGTCACTCTCAAAAAACGACAGGTATAAATCTGTTACATTTTCTATTGTTTTGGATATAACTTCGGTTTTCCTTGTAAAATACATCGGTGTACATTCGGACATGAATGTGTTATACTTGTACATAAGATTAAATTATTCTCTCTTCCATTCTGTTTCTTCCTTAGCAACACTCTGATCAAAGAAACATTCGAAGAAAAAAAGGTACATCTACATAACAGAACGAAAAAAAATGGCGAAAGTGGAGAAAAAGCAGGAATTTCCACGCAAAACCAATTTTTGCGCTTATTTCTCGAAAAGTAGACTTTGTACCAATAAGCGGACTTCAGATTCGGACTCTACGCAAAATAACGAATCAGAATATCTATACCGTTTCTTCCCAGACCACCCCGCTGGAAAATAGCCCGATTTGCTATGTGTACTTCAAAACGTTTTTCAGAAGAACAATAGTATCTTTATCTCTCTCTTTTACTTTTCTTTTCGCTCTTGCTCGCTTTCTGGTCTCGAAACAGACCTTGATTATTACTTTCACTTTTTCGTTTTTTTTGTTGTTTTTTTTCTCTCTCCCTGTATCATTATACAACCATGCGGGAACATATATATATACTACAAAACGTGTATGTACATTTTTTTTTCTCCATCTCCTATGTTTTTCTTCTTTCTTCGTTTACCAGATCCTTAAATTGTTATCACAATATGCGTAGCTCTTGTTTTTCTCTATCGCCGATAATAATGGGGCTTGTCTCTCTTTCGGTGGGTAGAGATAGTATAAAAATTGCTGGTTTTTTTACTTTTTCAAATAAATAGCTTATATCAAAAAGGATAGAGGACATCATCAGTGAAATAATTAACACGGAAATCAGCGTAATCTTCGAACATGTTATATTTGCTGGTGGTCTCAATTCGAATGATAACAAGGCCATTGAAGCCAGATTGCTCTCGATGATGGGCAATTTAACAATTAAACTTACGCGAAATGGTACAGAATTAGGTAATAATTTTATTCTGAAAAGGTAACTAGAATCGAGCTGAAAAGCATTCGATTATTTTAGGTGTAACATCGATCATGTTACGTGATTTTCTTGATGCAATCAAATTATTGATGTGAATATGAATATTTGGCCTTCCCTCTATCCGAGTGGCGTCGAACGTTGTGTTAGTGAAGTATCGTTATTGTGTTGCAAACAAAATGGAGAAGATAGGATTTATATCGCTCATTACGCAGTTTATAATTCATCCGTTGTGATTGAAGCTGATCGCTGTGTCATGCAATTATCAAAACGTGATCCATTTACAAGATCAATGATCAGTTATAAAATGACTGATCCGTTTGTTCATCCATTTCTCAACTATCTGCGTAATCATCTTTGGCGTCAAGAGTATGATTAAAGCGGAAAGCAAAGAATTATTCTTACGCAGGTCAAAGTTATGTTTCTTTCGAGTTTTTACTCGTCAGCATACGACCGAAATGATTTCGGAAGGAGGGCAAAATCGAACCTTCATGGTATAGAAATCGGATTGTTCATATAATCAAAAAGCTTTGATGTTCTTCTGGAGAAATTTATGAAAAAAGTAATTACAAATCTGACCATTGTGATAGTCCCATCTGCAATTATTCCAGAATTAATATGTTAGTTAAAAAACATTTCCAGCAATAGCTTTTGATACGTTGGATAGATTCGAATTTATTTATAAAACGACAATAAAAAGATGTATTAAAAAAAGAAAAATCGAATTTATTGATTAACACTTGTTTATACCATACCATGATACCACGACTTGTTTCAGAAGATCGAAATGTTCATTTTGTACTTGATGTGCCTTTTACTTTTCCAGCACCTGTAACGGTGGGTGTCTTTTTCACAGTAACATCCGATTCGCATAGAGATTAACGTTGATTTTCTTGGTTAACTTTTTTAGTTGGGGCGCTTGGCGGATGTTCACCGACTGTAAGAATGCTATCGTTTTCTTTTTTTGCTTCTAGTCTACAAAACCTTTTCTCTGAAGCTGAGTACCGGAAAAGTCTTACGTGTATCTTTGTCGCTACTTATGTTTTAGAGTTGATAGAGCGTATTCTGAAAGAGTGACTGACTGTTTACTGTGAAATGATTAGTGGACTGTAGTTTCTGTCAGTTCACACTAATTTATCTCCAAAAAGTGGTCGCGAGTATTCTCTTTTCTTATTCATTTTTGGTGCATTAGATGTCTTGGAGAGAGTGATGTATACATTCGATACTTATACATATTAGCTTGACGTGCATATTTGATACAACATTACCGCGACGACTTGTTTATTGGAAAAGACGAATAAATGAGGCCGGTTTTGTATTTTGTATTTTGCTTTCAAACTTAACTGAAGTTATGTGGTGACTAGCCATTATCTGATACAGTCACAGATATCTAGTTTCGCATCACGAAAATATGTTTTGTGGTTTTCGACAAATTTTGCATTTTCCAGATGGTCATTTTGTTGAAAATTTAAGAAAACCTAGCCAAATCAGAATTCAGTCACTACAAATGATCGTACTTCCAAAACTCTTCATTTCAGGCTAAAAATAGTTTAGTCAAGATATATAAGCTGTATCTTTTCCCCCGAAATAGTCGAACTTTCAGTTTCTGAGATAGATAAAGAATTTTGCAGAAGTTAAAAAACTTTTTATTTGTCGCGGACCATTAAAATACAGTCACAAATCAGACTTCGTCACATCCTAAGAAAAAAATGCTTATTTTATTTTAATTCTGAGTAAACTTAAACGAAAGTGCGTGATACGCCCGACTTGCTCCAAGTTTATGTAGTTGACTGATAAATACCAAAGAGAAAAATTCTAAATCAAGTACCGGCTTAGATACCGGTCCATAAACGTTATCGAGGAAGTCGATAAGATGCTTAAAAAAAGAATGTTTTGTTTTTTTCTTTCTCATATCAAAAATCACCGATCGGAAAGTCGAACGATCACACGTTCAGACGCAACAAACGAAAACAACTGTCGGAATAAATTCACAGCTCGGACATTTATGTCAGTTCTAAGATAAAATGGGATAGGATTATGAAACGAAAAATAAAAAAAATAGGATACGAGACGGAAAAACAATGTGAACGTTTTTTCTTTGATAAATCGATTCTGTTATGGCACAAAACGGCAGGCATTTTTATATGAAAAAGAACTAAGTTATCAAGGTTCTGTCGATTCTTTTTTGAACCAGAAAGAAAAAATACCTAAATGTGATGTTTTCTTCTATTCAGATGAAAAGAAAAAGAAACGAGGCAGCATTCTTAAAAGTGAACTCTCTTTGTGCAACTCGAACTAGAAACATAATTTGCATTTCGACGAGTTTCTCAGTTTTTCCTGTAAATTTTTACATATTTATTTATAAGAAAAAGAACATGCCATTGTATTAAAGAAAGCACAGGTAAGCATATTTTTAATAGGCCTAAACAGTTCCATATCATAAATTCAGATCAAGCGAGCGAAAGATCTGTTCGAACAGATCCTTCTGATAGGATCTGATCTGTTCAAACGGAACTATTACCGAACTATTCGGGGCCTAATTTTTAATGAAACTTTGAAATGTGGAATCATAATTGTGACATGGAAGAAGAGAAAATTTCAACTTATAGAGAGCAACAGCTAAAATAACATGAGGTTTTTGTGCATGCATTTTAGAGTGATGACGTCATCTCTATCGACCAGTGAAAACTTCTTTTTAAACAATTCCGCAGAACCATATACAGTCATTTGGCTTGATGTTCAAGTGAATGCCACTAAAGAAAATCTGGGTTCACAAATTAAATTACGATCTATGGCTGAGTGTAATTTATTAGTAGCTGTTCATCCAAATAAATGTGAAGAATATTTGCACCAACAGTCAAATGAGAAGCTTATTTTAATTATCAGTGGTCAATTAGGAAGGGAATTCGTACCTCGTGTTCACGATCTTCCACAGTGGTCAACTATTTATGTATATTATTTTCATAAAGAAATGAATGAAAAATGGGCTGAAGAATACAAAAAAGTAAGACTTCAGACGTCGTGAGTATTTTTTCCAAAAAATATGCGATACAGGGAAAGTTTTCTAATGAGGTGCCATCTAAAATGATCACCTACTTTCTTTCGTAGCGGGCTTCATGTAACCGGGGATGGTAGTTTCAAGATGACAGACGGTCGGACCCTCTCTACTTTTTTGGCATACAGCAAACCAGGTCGTAGCTCTCAGAACTGACATAGAAATATGTCGACTTTTTTCGATGGGTTTGGTCCGACCGATCTTCCACAAAAGCAGATGTGAGCGACATCTTCAAAATCCATGATTTGGGCCTGGCAAGGCTTTTCTCCGAAGCACCTGGACTGCCCTTCTGTTAGGGATAGGACGAGTAAAAATGATTGTAAACATAGGTTTTCGACTATGGTGAATCTCGTGGCAACGTTTGTTTTTAGAACAAAATGCAAGAACCGAGTAAGAACCTGTACTAAGCGAAATAACCTATTTTTGATTATTTTCATCAAAAATTGAATAATTCCCAACTCAGTGAAAATCCATCCAACCTACTTCGGAATCTTCGGAAATACTCTATTTTATCTACAGCATACTGTAAAGCTCAATAAATGTTGAAAAAAGCAACAGAAAGTACTTTGCCTGCTAGAAAGGTTTCCCAGAAACGTTCGGGACTAAAAGAATATTTGCTATTGATTTTACGTACAGAATCAGAATGAGCAAATAGAACAGAGTATTTCGCGAGATTCTGAAGTAGGCTGAACGGATTTTCACTAAGTTGCGAATGTTTAATTTTGATGAAAATAATCAGAAATGGATTATTTAGCTCAGTACAGGTTTTCACCCGGTTCTTGCATTTTGTTCAAAAAACAAACGTTGCGATGACATTTACCATAGTCCAAAACCTATGTTTGCAATCATTTTTACTGGTCCCAGCCCTAACCGAAGGGCAATCCGGGTGCTTCGAAGAAAAGCCTTGCGAGGCCTGAACCATGGAATTTGAAGATGTCGCTTACATCTAGTTTGTAGAGGATCGGGCGGAATAAACCCATCGGAAAGTTAGTTCTGAGGGCTCCGCCCTGGTTTTCCAAAGGTCCTCTGAAAAACTGGTCTTGAATCTTTTCAAAAATTATTTTTGGTTGCAGAAAGATGCCTACAGGTCTTGGCTATCGAGTACTTAAAACCGCAGATCTCTATCTCATTCCTGTCAAAAGTAACCACGGCCACTATTGTATTTTATAGATAATAGTTGAAATTAAAAAATTGATAGAGGAAAAAGTAAGTGAACATCTGGGAATGCTTATTGGTAACGAAGGAATCGTTAAATTCAGGTTGAAAATCGCGTCACTATCATTGATAACATATAGGAAAACTGTTTCTTTTCAAAAAGGATCACTTATTTAGTTCGCTATCTTGTCGTATGGAGTGTCTTCCAAGGTCATGACAGTTACCCCTCTTCTCTAATTCTAATTGACTTTAATAATTTTTTTTGTTATTTAGATAAAAGCTGTTATTACAGATATCGATGAATTATTCACCACAGCTTCAACACATCAGAAAAGGCTTGAAAGAATGAACGATCAACTATCTTATACGGCCTTAACCGGCGAACAATCATCATCAATTTCAAATGCTGAATTTATGTAATCTCAATTAATAGTCGATACTCTAATGGCAATAAAACCGTTACCCACGGACAGAGACGAATTTCTTGATATTTGTAAGAAAACTTACGAAACCAACCAAATATGGACTGAAACAAATAGACCAGTTTATATCCACGTATAAATCGGAAGATGTGTTTAAATGGTATACAGGTGACACTTTTATCTATCGTTTATTGAATACAGCATTCCCTCTAAAAGACATTGATCCATTAATCTTATTTCGTTTTTTTATTCGTGACTTATACGAAGAATTAAAAAAATTGCACGCTACTTCAGTTGCTGAAGACGGCAAAGAGACCATTCTTCGCGTTTATCGTGGTGAACAAGTAAAACCCGATGAATTAGAATGTATAAAATCGTGTCTGAGTTGTTTTATTTCATTAAACAGTTTGTTTCCACTAGTCGTTCTAGAGAAACTGCACTGGTGTTTGCTTTGTCTGGAGATGAAGCAAAATCAATTCTGTTTGAAACAGAAGCCGATCAACGTCTTTCAACAAAACCATTTGGTGACATTTCATTCAAAAGTCCTATGGTCGCTGAAAAAGAAGTTTTATTTATGCCTGGTTCGATTTTACGTATTAGCCAAATTGATCACGATCTTGAAAATAATATCTGTATAATTAAACTCGTTTTATGCAGTAATGATGCAGATTATTCGTTAAAACAAGTTTCGGATTATATTGTAAAAACTAGTTTTCAAGACGATGATGCATTTATTCTAATGAGGGTTGGCCTTCTTTTAAAGGATATGGGTTATAATGACAAAGCCGAACATTATTATCGGAAGCTTTTAGATACAAGAGGTGATGGCGTAAATGAATATGTTAAACATGTTGTACTCATGTATCCCGATAGAGGTGATCGTCCTAGTTCGACCACAGCCTACTCGGCCACCACATTCAAACGTATCCGCCAAATCATCTACTCATTGTACATTGTCATAAGTTAATTGGTGAAACATATCGTCGACGAAATGAAATTGAATTAGCAATTAATCATAGTGAAACTGCTCTTCGTATGTCATTGAATGGTGATGATCAGTTATTGATTGCTTTCTGTTATGATAGTTTATGTGGTATTTTTAAACAATTAAAAAACTATCACCAAGCTTCAGAAATGGGCCGAAAAATATCAGAAATTCGATAGACGCATTTACTAAAATATCATACTCTTTTAGGACAAACATATGTCATTGTTGGTAATTTGTATTATCGATTAAAAGATTATGAAGAAGCATTAGTTCATTTTGAGCATTAGTTCGCAATATCAATCACTCACCCTTGGAACTAAAATGCTGCAAAAGTTTTTTCCTCTGTACACGAACTTATATAAGTTTTAATTCTGGAAATAAAGATGTCAGCCGATCCGCTGTGCCGCCGTCGAAAGAAGCAAAACGTTATTCGCCGCCGCAGACATTTTTATTAGTCAACACCTCTACTGATCATGAGATGGAAGATGATTGTTCGCAAAAAGCAAAGTCGTCATCTCACGGCTGCCATCTTTCTTTTTTCTGTTTTAAAAATAAAGCTTTTTTACAAGAGATTTACAATTTTCCTGATGTCCATGAAAAAAATTTTTTTTAGACATACAAAACGCGTCTTTTGTTCTTTTTCACTTACTTTCTTCTTAATAACTAACTTTATACTGCAATAGAAAACATTGTATTTGTTTTTCCGTCTTCCCGTCGAATTATTTTTTACAAAGCAGATGAATTTCTAATTTTACTTGCATGTTTCTTTTTGTGTACTTTGTAACTGGTTAACTTGACTGAAAACAATACAAAATTAGCAAGCTAAAAACAAATATAAAAGTGCCCAACGGGTAAGCAATAGCATCACAGAAGTCGGTATACCGACTTGAACAATAGATGAATAATTGAACTACATTAAAATAGCTCCACCTGCCAAAGAAAAAATGTAGCCAAAGGGTGCATCATTTTGTGAACACCACAGACAGGTCGGTAATCCTTAGAGATCAGGCAAAATTCCAGCTTTGCCTAAGCAACTATACTAAAACAAATGTTTCCTATCGAACGAAAACAAAACAACCACTTTATATTTCAATCTACTTGAGAAAACAATTTCACTTCTTCTTATTTAACCAACCGACCAGTGTCCACTAATAAACCTTGGCAGGGTAGCACCTACAAGCATAATCATCAGTGATTTTAATTATGAGACCTTACAGTCTCATTACAATCCGATGATTTTCTGAATATTCTAAGTTTCTCTGAGTACTGTTTCACTCAGTCGACTTTCCAATCTTCCCGAAGGGCAGTTGGTTTTCTAGTTCTCTGTTTAAAGTCGACTGAGTGAAACGATAGGAGACTATATTGCGTTTCACTTCGCGCGTTGCCTAGCAAAATTCTTCTTTCTTTCTTTCTAGACTCTGTTTTAGCAAAAGTCAGCCGCTCGTTCTCGGTTATTCTTGATGGTACAAATTTGAGAAAATGATGGTTCAGGAGAGATGAAACACGAAACGTCCGAAGTCAATTTTCCAATATTCGCTTTAGTTCTTCTATTATTAATGTCCCAAAGTGAACATATATTTATGCGAACTGTGCCATTTTTCCATTGAGATAATTAATCGTCACGTGATATGCCTTAGAGTGAATATAGGCTATAGTGCTTGACATAATGATAGTTATAGCAGAATGTATGATAGAATAATGAATCAGCTGATATCACAAAGGAATACATGAACTTGATAGTGAAACAGCTGATATAATGTATATCTCTATACAATATCATGCAAACTCTTATTGTATATTCACTATCATATGCATGAACAGAACATTCTATGACATAAAAACTTAACCTCAACCGTGAGATACATTCTGCTGTCGTCCATATATATATATATGTCTATATCAGCTCATTCATCTCTCAGTCGTTCTCCTGTAGAAGCGAAAATGTGTTTTTTGAATCCTACTTTTCCTTAGCAGAACAATGCTTTTTAAATTCTCTTCATATACATTGATCTTCTGTTCTATAACTCACACTGCCATATCAGCTGATTCGTTATCGTATGAATCATTCTGCTATAGCTTTTATCATATAGGAAACAGTATAGCACATATTCAAATATATCACGTGACGGTTAATTATCTCATACAGAAATTGGCACGGTTTCAAAAAATATTTCCTCATTTTGGCCGGTTAATAATAACAGAACTGAAGAAGATTTCCCAAAACTAACCTCAGATGTGTCATCTGTCATTCCGGCACTTGCGATCCATCTTTCTCCCGAATCTGTACGATGAGGGATAGCTGAGAACGAGTGGCTGACTATTACGAAAAAAGTGTCCAGAAAGAAAGAACTGGAAAATCAACTGCCCTTCGGGAAGATTGGAAAGTCGACTGAGTGAAACAGCAAACAGAGAAAGTTAGAGAACTCGAAGTAGAAATTATTATCTCGACAGATCACATTTGAAATCAACTAACGTTTTTGATCCCACAATTTTATAGAGTCTGCTTGTCGGGACTGAAACATCTTAGCCAAAATTCCTATTCTTCTTAAACAGAGAAATTTCTATACATATTCATATTCCACTGTGTAAATTCAACTGCTATATCAGCTGTTTCATTATCGCATGATTCATTCTGCTATAGCTTTTATCATATCGGGCAGCATACTCTGTATTCAAGTATATCATATCACGTGACGATAAATTTGCTGAAAGTAAAAATCATTGAGCTCTAAAAGTATTTGAGCTGTATACTAGGCTGAAAATCACAGAATTGTGATCACAAACTAGCAACCGGATGGATCTAAGACGTCGAAGCGAATCTTTTATTCCACCTCTGCTTTAGTTTATAAAAACGCAATAGAAATAATCAATACATCATATTTTTTTCCTTTTCGAAGTAATACTCTTGAAACAAGCCATGAGTCCAAAATATCCTAGCAAAAAGTCCGCTATTTCCGTAACAGAGAATTTATTATAATTTACATTTTTATAATAATTTTTTTAGTATGAAATCAAAAACTATTTAAAATTATTTTAAAAATAAATCTCTATTGCCTTAAATAGGGATGTAATATTTCATAAAAAATAAACTTGCCCTTTAAACAAATGAATAGAAAATGAACTAAATTATGTTTAAACAATTATATTTGAAATCACTTTAAATTCTCACTTTCCTCTCTAGCAGTACTTCAGTAGAAACTATTAATTGTATTCAAAATTCAATAATATTTTGTTGTTTTAATTGGTTTTTAAGTTTAATATAGATTTTAAACTACTTTTCGGCAAATTTCTATTGAATAGAAATTATTTTACATAGTATATCAGAAATAAAGGATTTGTTGTAAAAACAAACTAATACCATTGATAGATCTGTAGTAATTTCTCCTCATTATCTTGATCATTGTTCATGAAGAATGTATCCCACCCATAATCAAATCATAAAAAATATCTTAATTTCCTTCAAAATATTGTCCACAGAATTGATTTTAGTCTCAAAATATTTTTTGCCAAATATTAGTTCAGATTCTGTGACATAAATAGTCAGCAATTGTTTGATTACAGAATCGTCCGGTATATGAAAAGAACTGACATCTTGTGAACTGTGACCTCATTCACGCATTAGTGCCTTCGTAGTACTGTTGTATTTGCCCCCTTCGAAAATACCCAAAACTTTTGGCCCCAGTTTATTCCGAGAGACCAAAAGAGCAATGATAACTTCGGTTAGTCTTTCATTTCCATTGTCGGGGATATTGATATGTATAGAAATTTCTCTGTTTAAGAAGAATAGGAATTTTGGCTAAGATGTTTCAGTCCCGACAAGCAGACTCTAT